CCTATATACAACACAAATTTACACAAACACAGGCCAATATTCATACACAGGTACATGTAAACACACAAAAACATGCATGCACAAGCACACTTGTGGAAGCACTCGCCCACACTCTCTTACACATACACAAAAGTGGCTAAACAGCCATGTGAGTTTGCTCTGGCAGATGGAGGCTGTCAGCATGCCCTGAGTGAGCTGTTCCAAATGAGAGGCACATGAGGTTGTCTTTCCTCTCTATGATTACTCTCACATGCTCACAGTACTTGGCAATCTTGAGGAAAGGCTAGGCTGAGCATATCAGCATTTGGGACTGAGAAATGTATTAGGTGTTGGTCACAAACTGTTTCAACTTTATTTATATTGTGAAAGTGAATCAATTTTCTATCAATTCTCCCATTATTGGCGTGGGAAGCATAAACAATAGGCTAAACATAAGTTACCAGCATTTGCATTGCAGCTTAGGTTAACAGATTTTTTTTCATGTGAAAGTAAAACCTGAAAATTGAAAATCAGATAATTTCAGTTATAGAATGCAGCTGTAACTCCTGTTTAAAACCAAATAGTGGGTGAATGTAACCGTATATAGTACTCTAAAACGTATTGTACTGTTGTGCCAGAGAGAGGAAGGGGGAATTTAAATGGGCAGAGATTGAGGGAGAGAGTGAGAGAGAGAGGAGAATGAAAGTGGGAAGTAGTATGGGAACAGAGATCAGGGAAACTGATACAGGGTAATGAAAAGCCCAGTGTATAGGCTACAGGCAACACAAACATACACAGCCCTCATACTCCACACTACAAAATGGTAACCTAAAAATAGTAACATCTACATTAACTGGTTTTATTCAAGTCAAAACCTATTACTTAACATCACTGAATTAACCTAAATATATACATTTATACCAATATTCAAATCAGAAATAGCTCTTTAAGGTACCAATTGCAGATTACTACTTTTTACAGTGCAGAAGAGAGATGCTAAAAACACTAAGAAAAAAAAATTTAAATTGTAAATGTAATTCTAAATGTAATTCCTGTGTTCAGATTACAGTTACTGACCTTTAATTACATAATACTTGGCACACATATTTGTTAAATATTTTGAATGTATATTAATTTATTCACCTCTAATTACACTCTTAAGAACTAATGACTTATTATTACTGTATTTGTATTAGTACCTCCCAATGTATAGGAAGGCTTAGTAGTATTTTAGAAAATTACTTGAAAGCAATCTGTAGTAAATTATTTTGAGTAACTTCCCCCACACTGCTATATTGAAATTAATTTATTCACCTCTAATTACACTCTTAAGAACTAATGACTTATTATTACTCTATTTGTATTAGTACCTCCCAATGTATAGGAAGGCTTAGTAGTATTTTAGAAAATTACTTGAAAGCAATCTGTAGTAAATTATTTTGAGTAACTTCCCCCACACTGCTATATTGAACACTAACACCAAATAAATGTGCCAAGAAAATAAATACTATACATAAACCTGAGAAAAATGTCTTTATCTGCATGTCTGTGCATCAATTCTTTCATCTTTAGTATAGAGAAGTTATCTAAGCTGTGCAAGTTCGAATCTATCCTGACATGGTTCAACCATGGTCATCATCTGTTTCTGAACATCCACAAGTGTACCTTAATGTCAACAATGTCAATATTGGTCAAACGGCTAAAAGCAGACCACAATTTTTTTTTCCATTATAGTACAGCAGACAAAAAATGTGAACAGTTATTTCCTGTGAGCCAATTCTTTATTGCTTCCCATCCTACATATTTCCTGACTGCAAAATCAGATGTTAAAAATACAATGACTCTTATGGTGATGAGAGATCATTGTCATTTTCTTTTTTTATCTTTCCCACATTTACTACATGTCCCTCCCCTTTCATGTCACAAAAATGATGTAATCCTTTTGATGTCAAAAGTGCAGGAGTTATGTAAAAAGAGAAGCGTGTACATGCCGCCTCTTCTGCCGTCCTTCTGTGCATGTGAGAGAAAAATAAGAAAGTGCGAGAGAAAGGAAGACTCTACTCTATCAATTCTCCCATCATTGGCGTGGGAAGCATAAACAAGTACCACAGTACACTATTAATCAAGAGCAATTGTATGGCACATCAGAAAGTACAATGAATTTGTCAAATGGTACTGGTAAGGGATTAATACTGTACAATATATTTGATGGACACTGAACTATGTCCAAAATAAGGAATGATGAAAAAAAAATGCTATATTAACAAAAACACAAGCATATGAGCCTGCAGCAAATGAGGCTTAAAAACACTTGTTTATCTGGTCTCTGAACAATTTTTGTAACCATCCAGTCTATTTTGCATATTCTCAATTATCCAGCAATTATGAAATATATAACAGTATATTCACCACAAAGCCAACAACATGCATTAGAAAATGAATCAATTCAAGTTCATTTTGATTTCATGTCAACTCTAAAATCAAAATGACTCTTTGATGAGAGATCATTATCATTTTCTTTTTTTATCTTTCCCACATTTACTACATGTCCCTCCCCTTTCATGTCACAAAAATTATGTAATCCTTTTGATGTCAAAAGTGCAGGAGTTATGTAAAAAGAGAAGCGTGTACATGCCGCCTCTTCTGCCGTCCTTCTGTGCATGTGAGAGAAAAATAAGAAAGTGCGAGAGAAAGGAAGACTCTACTCTATCAATTCTCCCATCATTGGCGTGGGAAGCATAAACAAGTACCACAGTACACTATTAATCAAGAGCAATTGTATGGCACATCAGAAAGTACAATGAATTTGTCAAATGGTACTGGTAAGGGATTAATACTGTACAATATATTTGATGGACACTGAACTATGTCCAAAATAAGGAATGATGAAAAAAAAATGCTATATTAACAAAAACACAAGCATATGAGCCTGCAGCAAATGAGGCTTAAAAACACTTGTTTATCTGGTCTCTGAACAATTTTTGTAACCATCCAGTCTATTTTGCATATTCTCAATTATCCAGCAATTATGAAATATATAACAGTATATTCACCACAAAGCCAACAACATGCATTAGAAAATGAATCAATTCAAGTTCATTTTGATTTCATGTCAACTCTAAAATCAATCAGCCCGTCCAGGTTTTCTGTACCTTATTACTGAACAAAGCATCAAAGCATCTGTTTCAAAGTAACTGGTGCCTTAAAGGGGAACTTCACAGCTAAGAAGATGAGCGTAAAATTGGCTGTCTATGCAGAAACATGGAAAACACCCATAATGCGCTTTGATTTTGCACTGCCACCCTAATCTGACTGTCAGTGGGTGAGAATAAAAAAGCAAAACACACTGCCTATTTACATACACTACCAAGAAAGTTAGTTGAAATTGGCAAACTTATCCTTTAAGTGAACAAATATGTGCCTCTAAAGCGGAATCTGGCAAAGAATGACCATAAGCATCTACAGTAAGCTGACCTGATATAGACCAGCAGTTCTTGCAAATACATCAAATTTTCATAAAATGTGCCTCTAAAGCGGAATCTGGCAAAGAATGACCATAAGCATCTACAGTAAGCTGATCTGATATAGACCAGCAGTTCTTGCAAATACATCAAATTTTCATAAAGACTTATCTTATCTCTGCATATTTTAGTTGTGACACATATGGTACAATTACGTCTCTCTCTCCATAATGTATTAATCTAATCATGCTGGTGGCAAAATTTAACATGGAAGAGAGGATAAGAACACAGTGGAAAGAATAAAGGCATATAGAATCATTTGCTTGAATGTCATGATAGTCATGATTTTATGAGCAGTGAATATTAACAAAGATAGGTTACATCTCCAATGGTTCAAGTCATAGTTTTATGATGAAGCAAATGCACCAGTGGGTGGAGTGAAGGAGCATTCTCCTTGTTGCTTTGATGCTTGTGGAAAACTTGGACTTTATTGCACAACAGCACAGTTATCAAATCCATAACTCTGTCAACATAACAATATTACACAAATAGTCCAGAAGCAAGAATAAAAAGTCTGTGGTGGTGAGGGTCAAGAGGGGAGTCCTCGAGCACTGCTTATGTCATGGGTTTTATCATTACAGAAAAACTTGTTTAGATAATCCCAAACCAAAATAATCACTGAACTCAGAAATCACAAATAACCTGTATTTACAGACACTCCCGCGTGTCTACCAGGGTCTACCATGTACCAGGGTATTTTTTGGAGAGTACCCTGGTATATGGCTCTTTGAGGGCAGGTGTTCTTCAGGTGCTATAGGTTCCACTACAGTGCTCGTTTACATATTCAAAGCATGCAATCGGTTTCCGTATCTGATACTTTTATTTTGCGAACGCGGTAAAAAATAATTCAATGACTTCAATGTCAAAAATGTTTAAACATGTTGAACAGCAAAGGAATCCATCAAATTTATATATCAAATTTATCACAACCAGATGAATTCTTCCATTAGTTTTAGCAGCGAACACTACAGCAATGTAAACAACACCTTGAATACAATGCGACACCTCCATCTCGTCACCATCAACAATACTACCGACAGCAAGACAAAATAACATTTAGAATATCATTAATATAGTGATACGATATAGTATAGTATTTATTATATCAGATTATATCATTATATCAGACAAAAATGTGTTTTTATTGCGGAAAGTAAATCACAGGAGCAGCGCTTATTCAAATCAGCAGCGCTCGCCGTGATGGAAACGATTCTCCTAAAACGCAGAGAAGAGATTTAACATCACCAGGGCTCCAAAGGTAGCATAAAAAATGCGCATTCCCTAATCGAATAAACGACGTTAAAGAATTTCAATGTTAAGCGAATGACACAAGGAGGATCATAATCACCTCAATCAATAAAATATTCGATTGATTCGCAAATGAACGGCGCGCAAAGCGAAGCCTCCGCAAATAGGTTAAGCCGCTCTCTAAACATCTAGCACGAGCAGAATAAATCCGAGTCGAAATACAAAACAAAACGATTACACACGGTTACAAACCTTTGTTTTCTTCCCTTTCATCCTGATTCTCCTCAGCCGTCGTTTCTGGTTTCATCCCATCCATTTGGAAACGAGTATGTTGGATACACTTCCTTTGCCTAGTCTCTCTCGCTCCCAATACAGGAGTATATTTTACAGTCCACCTCAAATATGTAGATGATTTGTCAGAACGGATTTCGCGTAGATAATTGGTTCATAAACGATAAGAGCTCAGCCGAAGAGGGTCTCGCGTAAAGAAAGACTATAACCTACAAGCAGATACGCGGAGGAGAGAGAATCCGAGAGAGGCGAGGAAAAACAGCCACTCCACTGCCAGTCAGGTTGACATAAACAGATAATCCCAGCTGTAAACAGTCACACATGCTCTCTCTCCGTCCTCCTCCCTCTCTCTGTCCCCCTCCCTCCCCGAATTGATGGGAGGACAGAAAGAATAAACTGTACTTATTAGGATAGGGGTCACATAGATATGAAGTAAAAGTGATGTGTGCAAAGTGAGACCAGATACAAAGGTACAAAGACGCTTCAACTATTATTTTATTCTAAACATGCACATTTAAAAGGTGTGTGCCCCTTGGGTTTTCTAATAATAAAACAATGGTCAAACAAAGAAATACCATCTGTCTGGAATCCTCTTAAACATTATTAATTCTTATGCACATGACCTTCTGCTGCATTCAGCTAAACAAAAGACTTGCACATGGTAAAGTACAACTGTCCAGGAAAGAGAACACACTAAATACCATCTCTATCATTACCATTTAAAGGGTTAGTTCACCCAAAAATGAAAATTAGCCCATAAATTACTCACCCTCAAGTCATCCTAGGTGTATATGACTTTCTTCTTTCAGACGAATCCAGTCGGAGTTATATTAAAAATTGTCTTTGATCTTTCAAGCTGTTTAATGCCACTCAGCGGGTGTTGCATGCATCAGTCCAAAAGAAGTGAAATAAAAAGAGCCCATCCATAAAAAAAAGTGTCTCACACAGCTCCGGGGGGTGAACAAAGGCCTCCTGTAGCGAATCAATGCGTTTTTGTAAGAAAAATGTCCATATTCAAAACGTAACAATCACTTTAATGTAGCTTGCGCCAACAGTTGTACACAGAAGCAGATATTCAGCAATATAATAAACTTCTGTGATATACTAGTCTAAATTGTATGATACATGGAAATGACCCATAAAATGTCTCTATAGTGATTCGTCACCTAGTAATTATAAGGTTCTATCTGCTATTTTTGTCAAAATTGAGTGATTCACATATACCTATTCTGTGAAAACTAATTTACATTATGTGATGTTTTTTTTTTTAAGTTGTGTACATTTTGGGACTGATGTATGAAAGAGACTTGTTCCCCATAACCCATATCACTATATGTAATGCAAAAACTTTGAAGCTCAGTATCTCGAAACTGCTCAGAATGCAGAGAGAACCTCATAATTCCAAGGTGACAAATTGTGTTTGTTAAACATTTAATCTTCAGCTCATCATAATTATTTTTTTAATATACACTATTGTGGAACCACTATAGTGGTTTATCACACAAAAAAATGGCAACATCTAAATTAAGTGGTTCTGTTTAAGTCAAAAATATTATTTAATATTGTTTAATCAAATTAATTGATTTATACCAACAAAACTACTTGACATGGGTTATGATATGGGTTATATGATGTAAAACCGTATAACCAAAAGTTAGGCTCATCAACCATAACTCCTTCAAAAACAGCTAGAAACCTTGGAGTTGTGATTACATTATGTGATGTTTTTTTTTTTAAGTTGTGTACATTTTGGGACTGATGTATGAAAGAGACTTGTTCCCCATAACCCATATCACTATATGTAATGCAAAAACTTTGAAGCTCAGTATCTCGAAACTGCTCAGAATGCAGAGAGAACCTCATAATTCCAAGGTGACAAATTGTGTTTGTTAAACATTTAATCTTCAGCTCATCATAATTATTTTTTTAATATACACTATTGTGGAACCACTATAGTGGTTTATCACACAAAAAAATGGCAACATCTAAATTAAGTGGTTCTGTTTAAGTCAAAAATATTTGTGTGTATAATATATATATATATATATATATATAATATATTTACCTTGCTACGTGTACTGGGTTTGGCTAACCGAGACTTATATTGCACTTATATATTGTTGCTCTTTTGTTAGTTTTGACTGCTTTTATTGTCCTCATTTATAAGTCGCTTTGGATGAAAGTGTCTGCTAAATGACTAAATGTAAATGTAGAAATATATCTATAAAGTAACATTTGCAGGTTACCACTTTATGCAGTGCATAAAAATACAAAAGTGGACTGAGAAAGGTGTAGTAGAGAGATTATTGTCCACCTCATTAAATCACCTTCCTTCCTCAGGCATCAAAAACACAGTAAGTAAAGGAATGTGAGTGGTGGTGGATGTGCTGTAAACAACTTCAAACTTCTGGTTGTAATTTAGAGTTCTTACCTCCTTTAAAATGTCACATTTTACAAGCAATTTAGGATGAAATATACAGTTTGTGTCAACAAGTTTGAGCCTATGAGTCTATCTTCTGATTCCTGGAAGGTTGCTGAACTGACACAACCTTGTCTTGGTGGATGAGGAGAGATTAGATCTTTATCTATGCCTCTCACTGAAATTATTTATAGTAATGAACGGAGGCATAATAAGAACAAATCAGGAGGAGAACTTTTGTGTATTTAAATTTATTTGAAAGATATGTGCCCTAACATGAATTTGTTCCAATGACAGTTTTCAGATAGGCACCAAATGAAAAAGTGTCTCTTTTCTTTGTTTTTGCTGCTATTTGTCATCAAAAGTCACATTTAAGACTATTGGGGGGGGTGGAGCCATAGGATACCATGGGACACACTGGAACTTGTCATGAGCCAGGGCTCAGGGACCATTCTGCTCTGACATACTACAATAATCTCTAAATTTGTAGGTCACTGTCACAGATTAAGTTATCGTCTGGTAGATGAGAAAAGGTGTCTGGCACAGTTTATCTTCTCATCGTCAAAAAAAAAAAAAAAAAAAAAACACATTCAAATGCAAAAACGTTGCATTCGAATTTTAGGTCTGCGTCAGC